TCTTTTGTCTTGCCCATTCACCCTCTTAATGGCACACAAACACAATTCATGTCCCAATTGTCTCAAGGCTTAAAAATCCTTCTTTAACCTGTCTCCTCCCCTTCATCTACACTGTTTGAAGTGGATTTAACAAGTGACATCAATAAGGGATCATAGCTTTCACCCGGATTCACCTGGTCAGTCTATGTCATGTAAAGAGCAGGTGTTCCTAATGTTTTGTACACTCACTGTACATGGCGTACACAGTGCAATGAAATCCTCACTTGCAAGTTCCCCTCTCGACAGTGAAGCAGCAATAGAAGGAAGCAAATGGGTAAAGAAAGTGTCATCAAAAATAGTTTTTTACTCAATGAGATAAACATAGAATAGTGTCTCTCTTTCTCTATTCCAGCACTCCTGACTCACCCCCCCCCCCCCAACCCCCCAGCCATAGTATAGTACTGTAGTGCATTCACTTGTACAATAGATCAGTGACATGTTGTCCATTAGTGTTGATGAAAGGTAGATGTACCAGCCTGTCTGTCTGTCTGAAGGTGTGTGGAGATCCTCTGACTTCACCAGGTATGTGTCCTGTACCTGCTGTCACGACCCCTCCTCTGCAGTGCAGGGGCGGTTCCTCCTGCAGGCAGAGGAGGGTCGTTAGTGATTGGAGTTGGTGTGATTGGAGCCACCTGGGCTCAGGGTATTTAAAACTGCCGGCCTGTGACACTGCTCTCATCTCTAACCTCTACCTCCCCAACCCACAGATCCCCTCAGAGAGAACAAAGCCCTGCACTGGGGTTTTACACACAAGTGTGTGTAGAGTTGATCTGACTGCTGTTGCTCTCAGAACTGAGAGGGGTCAGGGGTTAGAGCTCATTTGGTGTCTGAACCACTCTGAGGTAACAATAGGAGACTCTCCAAACTACCCTTTGTGCTCATATGCCGTGATATTTTTACAGTGGATTTTTGTATTTAGGTATTTTAAACTGTAATCTGCTTCTTTTAAAGAATTATAAATTATCTGCTTTGAACTTTTTAAGAAACAAAAATGAATACGTGCATTTCTATTATCTATTCAAAGCTCTTTTGAAATGTTTGGTCTGCTACCTTTATGGACCCGTAGCCTCCCTTGATGTTCGAAGTTTTAAACTAACAGACAGCCCACTCCACCATCTAACCATGCCTTGACTTTGAAAGCTGATATTCAAATAGGTCTGAGTATATTTCAGGTTCTGCAGAGGGAAGGTGTGTTTGGCTGTATGAGATGACAGGGGCTTCTTTCAGAGTGTGCATAATGTTGTTTGCTCCAGTGTGTATCTTGCCTTTTAATAGAGTGAGAGAGCCAAGGAGAACTCAAGGTTAGAGCACAGAGCTCTAGCAGAGATCTGGTTAACTCTACTCAATGTCACATCTGCACTGTCTGTGTCTGTGCGTGTGTGTGAACCCGTTGTTGAATTAAAGAATTAGTCCTGGTTCTAATTTAACTCATTTTAATAACAACTCGTACTTTTCTAGGTTTCACAGTTCAAAGCCATTTTCATTATCCCGTTCTAGTCACGTCTTCATCACTATAACAGGTAGGTAATGTCGCGATAGCCCAATCACTATACCACACCCGTCTTCTTAAGGAAAAACTGTCTATGGTAGAACACCCCCAGGAAACTAGGTTAACTGTTCCCAAATTCAGGATGTATTGTGAGACCCAGATGCGATAAAGTCAGAGTTCCTGAACCCAGGCAGAAAGTAATTGGTAATATAAACTGCTGTACTTTACCAAAAAGGTCTGCTGAGAGATACTGCAAGCAGATGACAGCAGGATTCACACCTAGAAAATAGGCTATTTCAAACATTCATTTATTGATATAACCCAGAAACCCTCCCTTGCTTGCAGTGCAGTGTGTGAACTAGACTACGCCTCCTAGCTGTGTTCATCCATTAGACTAACGCTGTATTTGTAGATATTAGTATGACTGAGTGTCTGTCTCAGTCTAAGTGGTTTGTATATTGCGAAGAGAATGCAGTCAAAATGCTGTGTGTGCACCCTTGCACAAAAACACATACTGAACACACCAACACAGGGAAATGCGGTGTATGTGTATCCTTGCACCTGTTATGAAGTGATTATGCTGACTAAGAGAGAACAGTGCTGTAGTCACACACACACATACAAAGTGCTGTGTGATGATGGTAGCTACTTGTATATCACAGTGCTGACGTCTAACCTAAATGGGTTGGTACATCGCTGATAATTACCCTGGCAAGCCTCTGATATAGAAACCCCTAAACAGATCAGGGGCAGAGAAATAGGAAATAGTAGACAGTAATATGAAACTGCAAGGTCACTCTACATTCTGCTGGACGAGAGATGAACGTGTGAAAGAGGGATGAGGAGAAGGTCAGAAGTCAAAAGCACATCTGGGGTTCTATGGTTCTGGATGGAACAGAATCAGATATACAGAGATCTGGGTGGAAGGAGACCTCAGTAAAAGAAAACTACTGTAGAGAGGCCATCTGAGAGAATTGGCTTTAGACCAGGGTCATAGCATTGAGACGAACCCCAAAGCCTAACAGATGCACGCAGGGAAACACACAGACACACACACAGGGAATGGAGTGTCCTCGGGCTCTGAGTAGTAGTAGTAGTAGGAGTAGCAGCAGCAGCAGTAGTAGTATGAGAACCATGGAATCAGAGTGTGATTGGAACTGTGTAAAGAGTCCACTCAGAACTACTGAAGGACACAGCTGAATGCTCATGGGTCCCTTTCTATATGAATTATGGCTGTTCTCATACTTTTAAAACATTTACTTTAGATGTGCTTTAGAATGTGTTTTTTGCAAAACGAGATATCCGCACACACCCACACAGATATACACTGAGTGTACAAAACATTAGGAACACCTGCTCTTTCCATGACATAGACTAACCAGGTGTATCCAAGTGAAAGCTATGATTCCTTATTGATGTCACCTGTTATATCCATTTCAATAAGTGTAGATGAAGGGCAGGAGACAGGTTAAAGAAGGATTTTTAAGCCTTGAGAAAATTGAGACATGGATTGTGTGTGTGCCATTCAGAGGTTGAATGGGCAAGACAAAATATTTAAGTGCCTTTGAAGGGGATATGGTTGTAGGTGCCAGGCGCACCGGTTTGAGTGTATCAAGAACTGCATTGCTGCTGTGTTTTTTATGCTCAACAGTTTTCTTTCTGTATCAAGAATGGTCCACCACCCAAAGGACATCAAGCCAACTTGACACAACTGTGGGAAGCATAGGAGTCAACATTGGCCAAGCCCCAACAAACTGAGGCTGTTCTGAGGGCAAAAGAGGGTTTAACTCAATATTTGGAAGGTCTTCCTAATGTTTTGTACACTCAGTGTACACTTATCCACACACACACACACACTCATATACATTCATGCTACACACACATCACAACTGCTGCTACCAGACTCTTATTATGATTGCTAAATACAGCACAATTTAAACACTTGCCCCCAATCTCCCCTACCCAAAACACGTGTAAATATTGGACTATAAATTGTGCCTTCCTGTATTATGACATTTTAAAACGCATTTCCTGCAATTCTACACAGTTTGACATTACTTATTATGCTTCTTTTGAGGGGTATATGGAGGGGGTAATTTGAAAACACAGTATAAGTGGAAGGATAAGTGGAAGCCCCCCCCCCCTTCTTTTTTGGGGAAAAACAGCTAATTCCTGCATTTCAACACATTTTGCCATGGGGCTGAGGGAAAAAAAGTTCATATTCTGTTAACTCATACCCAAATAATGTTGTTGACTCATCCTATACCCATATTTGTGGCCAAAGCATAATTGGAGAAAAAACTCTTCAAAAACCCCACCTAAAACGTGTATTTCAAACACACCGTTTCAAAAATGCTTGCTATTTCCTCATAGAGGATGTTATTGTCCTCCTGAAGAGGATGAGCAGGCCAATTAGCGTTCTACTCGCAATAAAAAAAAAAAAGACCGGTATACGCCCACCCCATTCTGTTGTTGGGGTACACCCACACCATTCCTACACAGAAAAGCTGCTTTTTAACATACTTAATTAAACATTTTCGGAAGGAAAACTATTTCACTCATATTGTAATTAATTAGAAGTCATATTTCATAGAAATCTGGAAACACTGGACTTTGAAGGTCGACTTTGGGCAAAAACAGAAAAAAAATGGCTTTAAATTGTATAACCCATCAATGCACCATCATACCAGGTAATTTAATGCTTAAAAACAAAAACAAAATGGATGAATAAGATATTTGGCTACAGAGGGCCATTTCTTACTGAGCTCTACAGCTTCCATCCAAAATCAAATCCTGTGAAATGATGTCAACACATACTGGAGGAGTTACTGGCTAGCTACAAGTGGCTAACTTAGCTAACGAACAAGCTACATCAGTCACAGCGTGCATGACCAGAATGACACATCGATGAACCACCAAAGACACAACCCATTTCTGTAAAAGAAATTGGACAGTTTTTCATGCGCAAAATCGACCGTTAAAGCTAATTTCCAGCAATTCTACACATCTCTGGGGGGCGCCTGACCTCCAGGGGGCCCACAACCCCCCCCCCCCCCCCCCCCCCAAAAAAAATCGGTTACTATTGGCCAAAAGAGGAAACTTTCTAAACAAGCTTATGAAAAGGAGAGAGAATATCCAGCAGTGGGAAACAATAATAGGCTACTGGCTGCAAACATACGGAAGTTGCAAACTGCGGGCTGTGACAATAAGAATCAATCCATTCTTGACCTGTAAATTAATTGCGACAGACTTTCAATGTCCTTATTATTCCTTAAATCCTTCTTGATTACTGCATTGTTGGGTTGGAGCTTGCAAGAAAGGCATTTCACTGTACATGTGCACGTGACATTAAAACTTGAAACTTGAGAGTGTATATAATCAAAAAAGCTAAAAAAAAAGCTTCTGTTGATTTATCGAAAAAACCTGTAAAACTATGTGCTATCTGATATTTGCACAATATGAAACAAATGGATTATGTTAATATTTATTTATTTATTTATGTATTGATACTTTATTACATGTAACTGTTTAAAACCCAATCGGGATTCTTTTTCTATTGGAGATCTGTTGTTTGGGTTGGATATATAGCGGTTTGCCACAAAACAAGATTATTTGTCTCTCTAAAATAAAATTACCTTGCAGTATATTTCAAACAAAATCATGTCTGTCTTTTCACTAGCCCATGTAATGGTAAGACGGAAAAATATTAGCTGTGTCTCTTTCATAATATCTCTTTTTAATTCATGTCAATTTACCAACATTTCTGAAAATGGATATATCGCATTTTGTAATTAAACTCTTCAAACTTTACTGAGGCATGTTTGGTTGAATTCATCCCTGCGTCTAAACAGCCTTTGTAGTTATTATTATAATTTTTTACAAATTCTCCACCTCCAAATCTCAATTTCTTCTACCTCTCCTGGCAGAGTGTGTGTGCGTGTTTCCAGAGTGGAGCGTTAGGCCTTTTGCATTATTGATGTTCACACTATTAGTACATTAGAGAGGCAGTAGATCTCCCAGAGGCCTGCCAGTATGGAGACACACACACACACTCACAGATCTGCATGCAGACGTCAGATCACACACAACTTTATCAGGAGATGGAGAGTCCCATAACTGATACAGTGAAACAACATAATAGCGGTACCTACATTTACATATTGCCCCTTTTGGACTTTGATGGAAAATGATTAATCAGTACACAGTTCTAGTAGATCAAGTAAAATCAGTCTGATTACTGGATCTTCTTGGTGAAGGAGTCCCAGAGAGCAGCCAGTTGGGTCTTCAGATCCTGGGCCAATGGGTCCAGCTTCTTCAGCTCCTCTCCATAGGGGGCCAGGTTCTGCTGGAGCTCCTGGGTTCTCTGGGTCAGCTGGGTCTGGAAGCTCTGGGTCAGGGGAATCATGCTCTTTTTGAACTCTTCCAGGTTCTGGTCCATTTTCTGCTTCAGCTCCTCAGTGTAGGGGCCCAGCTGGGCCTGCAGCTGCTGCACACTCTTCTCCAGGCTTCCCTTCATCTCCTCGCTCTTCTGGAGTAGAGTGGCCTTTAGGGCATCAGAGTCCAGGGCCTCTGCGTAGGTGGTCATGTCCCTTTTCAGCTCCTCCACCTGCCTCTGGATATCTGCGTTCCACTCGTCAGAGTAGGGCTGCAGCTTGGCTGTCATGGTGCTCAGATCCTTCTCCAGGCGAGCCTTCAGCTGCTCGGCCTCCTGGGAAAGCTTTGCCAGCAGGTCCTGAGTCAGAGGAGTCACCTGACCACGCATGGCCACGGTGTACTGGTTCACAGCATCAGCACTCTCAGAGACCATGGTGCTATGGAGACAGAGAGAGAAAGGTCAATACAGAGGCCAAGTTATTGAGGTTAACAAACAGGCAGTTAGTTACTCAACAGTTGTTATGAAACACCATTATATTGTGATATTTTCTACATATTAAGACTTACTTGACTTCTTGTGCCACCTCTGACTGTCGGATCTTCTGCAGGGTGTCCTCAGCTGTGAGTGTTGCCTTGGCGACGTAGTCCCAGAATGCATCTTTCACCATGTCCAGCTGTTGCTGAGACTGGTCCTGCCACAGACCATTGGCACTGCACCCTGTAGGAGAGACCGTGGATTATTTAATTTTCAGTCTAGACTGGAGGCTATTTGAGATGATACATTTACTCCTTTCATTGATATTACACTACTGTTACATTGAGGATGATCAATTTCCTTCCTGTCAAAAATATAAACACTATAGTCAAGTTTTGAACAGTGAAAACGTATTCTCCACTCACCAGTGAAAACAGCAAGAGCAAGCACCACTAAGACCTTCATGACTGGGCTGTAGGCTGTTAATGGGAGAAAAAATACTATTGGTGAATGAAACATTAGTCAGTTTCTCATCCCAGATATTATTGTAGCCTATGTGATTACAAAATGCCTAGAGGCAGCTAGTGTCTTACCTGTTTGAGAGAGCTTGTGTCCTTGTTTCTGGTAGTACTGTATGCTGCAGGTGTCAGGGCTGTGTGTTTATATAGGGGGCTGGGAGTTGTAGTGAAGAACAAAGTCCAGGACTGAGTGTCCTGCTGTATGTCCTCTTGTTACATCGACTGCCACATCACATCCTCAGTACTCTGGGGACACGTTATGGGGACCCAGATGACCTGCTGACACCATCCATTTTAGGATCATCATAACAACATTAGACATTACTGGACGGTTTCCCAGACAGATTAAGCCTAGTCCTGCACTAAAAAGTGCTTTAAATAGAGAATCTCCATGGAAAATGCTTTATAGTCCAGGACTAAGCTAAATCTGTGTCTGGGAAACTGGCCCTGTAATTCAACACTGTTACTTCATCTATAGCGGATGAAATGGCTCAAGAATTGGTTGATAGGTAAAAGCTGATTATTATTCACTTATTTGTATTTCAAGTATGTAATTCGGGTCTGACCACTATCTGAACGCTGTCTTCCAGATTAGTGGTGAAATTAGAGATTGATTAAATATGGACTACATGTAGACTTGATTCAAATGTCAATAGAAATGAATTCATTACATAAGTCATGAGATGATGTGTTGGGAAACAAGTGGCAATGAATATACGTATGGGTGACGTACTGATGACTTAGTAGACTCTGAACTTTCATATTGCAATGTCATATGATAAGAAACATAATCAGGTTAATGTTTGTCTGTAGGGCTGAAGTGCTCTTGTAGTCAGTATTTTGTCACGTAAAGATGCTTCTTGTTGTAAAATGTACACTAATCCTATCGCCCACCACAAAAACTAATCATAAAACTCTATATAGGGACTTAATAAAGGGTTTACACATACGTCACATACATGTTTACCCCAATTACGCACATTAAATACGTTTTTTTTAATTGAATTGAATGTCTCAGGCAATGATGAGACAAATATTTTAAATGTATGTAGTCTTACAATAACTTTGACCCCAACTGTCTTTGGATGACCCAGTAGAGATTATTTTGGGAGAAGGGATTGTATTTCCTTACACAACCAATTCCTACACTTACTACTCAGTTACATTAGGCTGAATTGTTGCACTCAGCCTTTCAAGGGAAATTATTGATCAGAATTCATCCCCTAATGCTATTGTTGTTTATGGAACGAAATTATCAAATAGGTAGTTGCTAAATGCTGACTCTTCTTTAAAAAATATATAATCTTAAGGGCTTCAGTTCAAGATATTTTCCAAGTCAATCAATTCAATTGATTCCTGATTCCTCTCAGTGGAGTCGAAAATAAACATAAACAAAGGTGCAGAGAGATAATCCATAGAAATATAATTGATTGTTGCTTACTTCAATGGTGCCACCATATATAATGTGGAATCGTACATTCTATACAATCTATTTCTGTGCTCTCTCCTGAGAGTAGAGTTTCTCTAATGCTACAGGGCTGCAGGGCTGTTCCACTCCTAATGATTGGGTGGAGGAATTCACAAATGAACAAAACTCAGAATAAAAACAACTCAGGGGCAAAACTAATGCTTGTGTGTGTAATGTTTGTGACAATGGCTATATTATGGAGTTCTAATATATTAGTTGTGGCTGTTGTGTTTGGTTGTTTGTGTGACGCACAACCATGGAGACCATCATCACAGAAACCATTGGGTCAAGCTCTTCAGCAACCTCAGCAGGCCAGACAACCTGCCTCTGCCTCTGGAAAGCAGCTAGCGCCCGGCGTGACACCAGCTCAGCGATGCCATGTACAGCAGGGTTTCCCAAACTAGGTCCTGGGGGCCCCCATGGGTACACATTGTTTTTTGCCCTAGCACTACACAGCTGATTCAAATAACCAACTCATCATCAAGCTTTGATTATTTGAATCAGCTGTGTAGTGCTAGGGCAAAAACCAAAATGTGCACCGGTGGGGGGGGGAGTCATGTGGAGACCCAAGCATTAGCGCTGCTGATTGTGAGACCATCAACTGCTGTTTTATGGAAGGGGTGTATTAAGAGTAGGAGCCTTAAATAAATTCATTATGTTCATAAATGTTGCATTTGCTTGACCTTCATCCTGCCCTAATAACAGTGACGGTCCAGTGCTCCGAGGATGGTCAGTTGTTTGGTGCTGCTGGCCAACGATGCCACTCTGCCCCACCTGGAACTGGATTCAGACCCAGCACAGAGGAGTGTCATTATTGCCATATTGACTGTCTGCTGTCTGAATGAACCACACAGCCTATCAAGCACAAAACACATCTATCACCCTGTGTGTGTGTGTGTGTGTGTGTGTGTGTGTGTGTGTGTGTGTGTGTGTGTGTGTTTCTCTCGACCAACCGCTCACGGAGAAAGCCCATCTATCAGGCTGTCCACCGCTCGTTCTCTCGCCTGCATTACGGCCCTGACCTTTTTACCATAAAGGTGGACAGGCCGTGTGTGTGTGTGTGTGTGTGTGTGTGTGTGTGTGTGTGTGTGTGTGTGTGTGTGTGTGTGTGTGTGTGTGTGTGTGTGTGTGTGTGTGTGTGTGTGTGTGTGTGTGTGTGTGTGTGTGTGTGTGTGTGTGTGTCGAAGGTCCTAGCACCCATGGAGAGCTAAATCTCATTCCCCAGCCTGACGGATGACTGCTGCTGAGAATGTAGGACACACACACACACTCAAACACTCTCACACACACACAGACGTTCACTTTGCCCTCAAACTTGTGGTCTCACTTCATTTATCCTGCTCTGGAGGTGCGGTTGGTGAGAGAGACATGAGAATATGAAATGTATTCTCCCTGTAGAGTTACGCTCTATAGTGTTAACACAGTGATTCTGCTTACATGGTGAGTAATCTGACTAGAGAGAGATCTGTTACACACCTGCTGTCATCTGAAGTCATGGGCGTGATCTGAGGGCTGTGCTGCTTGTCTTGTCTATTTTCTAGTCTCTACTCTTAATAAAACACTACTCTTCTCATAACTTCTACAACAGAGAGAGATGTAGAATTAGAACCCTGAACCTAGTAGGAACATAGACAGAGGAAAGCAGAGAGAGAGAGACGGAGAGAGTTAGAGAGAAGGAGACAGGATAGAGGGACATAGAGCTGTGATTGGGATGCAGTGGTGGGAAAAAGGGAAGGAGATAGAGGGAAAGAAGGATAGAGAGGTGTGTGTGACTGTGTTGCAGTGGAGCGTAGCAGGCAGCAGGCCATGGAGTCATTGACAAGAGGTGAAGGGGACATGCTTCCTCAGTCAGAACTATCATGCTGACCTCTGGGACGAAGTGTGTGTGTGTGTGTGTGTGTGTCAGAGCAAAAGGTGACCCTCCATCCTATTACAGTGATGTCAGATGAATGTGGTTAGATCAGGGTCTGTACTCTCTCTGCCCTGATAGAGAGTCTTTCTGTGGCTTAGATTTTGCCCACTGAGGCAGTCAACCAAAGCCTTACAGTACCTGCAGGAGCAGATGGGCTAGCGCTGGTGTGTGTGCGTGCGTGCGCCTGCGTGTGTGTGTGAACCAGGGGATTTGGGCTTCTGTAAACAGCCACATCCTGGGATTTACTGAGAGACAGACCAATGTCAGCAGAGAGAAAATCCCTCTGTTTCTTCACCTTCCTCTGTCTGTCTCTCCTCCTGTCACTCCATCTCCACATTTCCTCCACTCCCTCTGTATCTATCCTCCCATTCCACCTCTTCTCCTCTCCCTCCCTTTCTTTCCTTCCATTCCACCCCTCCATTCTCTCGCTCACTGCAGGCTTCTCCTCCTAAAAACAGAGAGGAAGCCTAGGCCTCAAAAGGGTCCTGTAGACAGCTATTGGCTGAACATCAACACAGTGTGTGTCAACTAACCTGTGTGTTAGGGAGAATCTGGCAGTGTGATTTACCAACATTTCCCCCCAAAAAAGGCAAATCTTTAGAAAATACATTATGGTACTGTTGATTTCCCCTGCTGTTGAGTTGGCTCCACGCTATGGAGAGATGGAGAGACCAATACTCACTAGATCTACAGCACGGGGAAATGAAGCGTGTGCATGTTATTCTGGCAACATTCAGAGTTCTGAGAAAGAGAGCAAGAGAGAGAGAACAAGAGCCATACAGCAAAGAGAGAGACAGAGTGTCACGATCGTTTACAGACGGGTCAGACCAAGGCGCAGCGTGATATGCATACATGTTTATTTGGAATGTATAAACAAGCGACAAAACAACAAACTAAACGAAACGTGAAGTCCACGATACACAAACAACATACCTCACACGGAACAAGATCCCACAACCCACTAGTGCCAATAGGCTGCCTAAGTATGGTCCCCAATCAGAGACAACGAGCGACAGCTGCCTCTGATTGGGAACCACACCGGCCAACATAGATCTAGAAATTCTAGATTCACAACATAGAACAAATACAATACTAAACATACACACCCTGACTCAACATATAAGCGTCCTCTGAGTCAGGGTGTGACAGTACCCCCCCCCCCCCCCCCCAAAGGTGCGGACTCCGACCGCACAACATAAACATAACAGGGTAGGGGCCGGGTGGGCATTCCGCTTCGGAGGCGGATCCGGCTCCGGGCGTGACGACCTCTTACTCTCCGCCTCCCTGTTGCGCCCCTGGTCTGGTCTGGACCTCGGCACGCTGCTTCCCCTCTCCTTCCTCCCACGAAGTACCAAGCCCTGTCTGGACCCTGGTGTGGGAGACCCCGAACCTGGAGAGGGGCCTACGTCTGGGTCTGGACTGGAACCGCTGACTGGAGCTGGACCCGACGACGGTGGAGCGAACTGCTCTGGCTCCGGAGTGGAGCCGCTGACCGGAGCTGGATCAGGCACCGGTGGAGCGGACTGCTCTGGCTCCGGAGTGGAGCCACTGACCGGAGCTGGACTGGACCCCGGTGGAGCGGATTGCTCTGGCTCCGGAGTGGAGCCGCTAACCAGAGCTGGATCAGGCACCGGTGGAGCGGACTGCTCTGGCTCCGGAGTGGAGCCGCTGACCGGAGCTGGACTGGATCCCGGTGGAACGGATTGCTCTGGCTCCGGAGTGGAGCAGCTGACCGGAGCTGAACTGGGCACCGGTGGAG